TTATTACAACAGGTTAAAGCAAGAAGCTAATGTTATTACAACAGGTTAAGTTAAGAAGCTAATGTTATTACAACAGGTTAAAGCAAGAAGCTAATGTTATTACAACAGGTTAAGTTAAGAAGCTAACTGTTGTGCAAAGTTGAGCTTTGCACAACTTTGCCTTATTAAAATCTAACTGAAGTCTAAGTCACATTTATTCTAAGTAAGAAGCCATTGTAGCTTGAGCATTGTAACAAGGTTACATTCGTTCATGCTACACCATTAAGCAATATTTTGTTGATAACCCTGTTAATTAGCTAAATGAAAGCCTCTATTAGCTGTTTGTGTTTAGAGTAAATCATGGAGGGTTATAACTCCTGATAGAAATTCTGGTGCATGAGTCCTTTAGTTTATTAGGATCTCTGTTTAACTGGATTTGACTGGAATCTTGCAGGACAAGAAGACCAGGGGTCTCATTTATAAAGGATTGCGTGGAAACCATACTAAAAGTGAACATACGGCCAAAAGGCGGAAATGGCGTACGCCAAAAAAGTTCAGGTTTATAAAACCGTACGTACGCATGTTTCTGTGCATCTTTACTTTATAAATCACAGCCACATGTCAGAGTTTGAACACGAGGTCCTCCTCAGGTTCTACCCTCTACACGCCCACTCAACCATAAACAGTCAATGTAAAGTACCTCATGAATGTTAAGATGTATTTAAATCAGTCAGATGATCAGTGATTGGTTCAGACAGGTGCTGACTGACAGCTGCTCATCTGAACAGAATGTCTGTAACTGACACAGATTTTACCTAATTTTGCTTTAGAGTAATCTAATGATTTTATAAAAAACTCAGCTTCAAATTAATTTTCTCTCAGAGCCTGCAGGACGATAAAAACAATAAAATTTAAATTAAATAAGCCAGATAAAATTAGAAATAAGTTCACTGCTCTTCTCCTCGTCCTCTGCCCCTCCTGCCTGCTCCGTTATCTACGGCAGACACCCCCGCCCCGCGCCGTGCACATGACAATCACGGACTTTAAACGTGAAGGTTTATAACATCCACACTGGTGAGGTGGATGCGCCCTGCGCGTGTATCCAAAGCTTTTGCTGTCCTGCTGTTCTTGTCGGGGAGGGGTCTGTGTGCATCAGGGAGGGGTCTGTGGGTCAGGATGGGGTCTGTGGGTCAGGGAGGGGTCTGTGTGGGTCAGGGAGGGGTCTGTGTGGGTCAGGGAGGGGTCTGTGGGTCAGGTAGGGGTCTGTGTGGGTCAGGGAG